CGCGGGGCCGGCGGCGCGAGGAGCTCCCCGCACGGCAGCAGTGGGACCCCGGCGCGGTAAAGGGGTCCTCGGCGCAGCTCGGGGCTCCCCAGGGGTCTGTTGGGCTTCTCCTCCTGCACGTGACGCTCCCTGACCTTGGGCATCCTGCACGTCCAGCCCCTAGCGCGCTGGCCCCGGGCTCGAGGCCACAAAAACACGAGCTGAGCCACACAAGGGGTGGGACGCCGCGCCCAAGGGTTTGTCGTCTCCTGCCCTTGATGCGACCCAAAGGCTTTGAGATCCCGAGTCGCTCGGTGAGGGATGGGTCTTGAATTGTTGCCGCGACTGCAAGCTTTCTGCTCCATCTGTACAGCTCCGAGCGCCGTGGGGCTCGGGTTCAACGAGGCTAGACCCGGTCACGTGCCAGCACGGAGGCAGGGTGCAGCTGAAGATGTCCCTCCCCGGCTCCACCTCTGCGGTCCTGCTCCAGGAACGTGTCCCAAGCCCCACGGCGAATCTGCTGCCAGGAGAGGGGAGCACGCCTGCACCCTGGTGCTTGGGGGCTGGCGGATGGACCCTTGCTCCGCTTGGCCCTTCGGCCGGCCCCGGCTCCCCGTCCCGGGCGGGACGCAGGCTGCAGCTCTGCCCTAGAGTTAACACCCCGAGATCGGGAAAGACTGGGCTGCGCTCGCGCCCCGTGTGCTGCTCCCCAAACGTCTGCTTTGTGGCTCAGGAAAGGCTCCCGCGTCCCGAGAGCAACGGGCCCGGGTTTGCCTCTTGCCTTCCTGCCGAGGGAGGGGGACGGCTTTGCAACAGCCTCTGGAGGAGAGAGACCCCGCAGCGCCGTCCTGCCAGGGGCCTGGAGCATCTCGGTGTTGACGAAGGGGGTTTTATTGGTACCAAGTTTCAGGTCTGCGTGAACGCGCCGAGGCCGCGGTTTCGGGGCCAGCGCCCAGCTCCGAGGCCAAAGCAGTTAACCTGGCAGCTCTTCAGTCGGTGCGATCCTGAGGCGAACGGCTTGGAAACGGGCTGCGTTTTCCAGCTCTTGTGCAGAGAAGACAATGCCCTGCTCTGCCTCGCTGCCGGCACTTGCTGTTGTCACCTAGTCCTGCCCCAGCCCGAGACGCCCGTCGGAGCCGCCCGGCTCGGCGCTGGCATTTACTTATTGTCGGCTACTGGACAAGCGCGGTGTGCGCCAGCTCGCCGAGAGGTCGCAGGGCCGGAGGGAGGCTGCGATGCAGCTGTGCAAGGCTCGCCCGCCCGCCCGCCCGGGGCCCGGCGCACGGCTGGATAGGGCGCCTGGCACGGGGCTGGCGAGCCTGGCGGTGACCGACCCTCCGAGGCCTTAGCCGGGCACGCGATGACGGCCGGGGGAGCCGGGCTCTGTCGTGGGAGCCGAAGCCTATTTTTAAAGTGGTTTGGTCCCCGGCCAAGGCTTGGAGAGAACCGGCCTCCGGACTTCGCAAACCGGAGTGGAAGCTGATGCTAATTGAGAGCTCGGTTTCCTGCAGAGAAGCTGTTCTGCAGCCTGGGCCGGCCGGGGCGCCTGCTTCCAGGGTGGGTCCCATCCCGGCTCCATCGGTGCCGCCCGGGACGCATCCTGCACGCGCCGCAGGGGGCTCTGGGCCGCCCTGCCCCGCACGCGACTGCTGCTGCCGGCCGGAGCTGCCTGCAGGGCGGCGGAGCCGGCTCGGCCAGGGGCCAGGCGCAGCCGCTGCGAGGGTGCCCTGCCGTTTCTCCGCAAGAGCCGGGAGACGCGGCCTCGCCCGCCCGCCCGCGTGGCTCGGGAACCTGGAGACTTGGCAGCGGCTGCGGAGACGGCTGTTCACACCTGGCCCGGAGGCAGGCCGCACCCCAGAGCTGGGCGCGTGTTGGGGGCTGGAGAAGCAACGTGTCTGTCGCCTGCGCGCCTGGGGCTGCCCCGGGCGGATGGCGCTGTGTCGACGCAAGGCCGTCGCAGCCGGGCCGCGCAGCGTGCAGGGATCCAGGTGCTGCAACCGGCAACTGAGACGTGGGCCTCGACTCTTCTCCGCGGCGGCTTTGCAACCGCCCGCTGGGGCAGCCGGGAGGCGGACAGGCCTGCGCCCGGGTTCAGGCCGGTTCGACCCCCTGGTCTGGTCTTGCTCTGCCCTGTTCCTGTTGCAGTGGGAGTGCGTGCCCATTGCAGGGGCCCTGCCCGGCACCGGCACCCGCTCCCGCATGCACCCAGCCCCGTCCCGCTCTTACCTTGGTCACGGCCAGGGCGCAGGCATGGCCCCAGATCTCGATCAGCTGCTGCTGGCCGAAGCGGTAATCCTCCAGCAGCTCCTTCTCCAGCGCCTCGGCCTCCTCCCGGCTGCAAAGCAAGAGGCAGAGGCTCAGGGCGGTGCACGGGCGCTCGCTCTCCCACGCCCCAGCCAGCACAAGGGTCCCGTGAGCCTGCGCAGCCTGCCGGGGGGAGCGCTGGGGTCCCACCTGCCGTCGGACCCAAACCCCCCGGCAAAGAAGCTCTTGCAGGCTCCACGGGGAGCCTCCGACAACTCGCCTCCAGACCCGCGGCCTTTGGCCCCCCGCGTTGCGGCCCCCAGGCACCGGGGAGCTGGTAGGCGAAGCGGGTGGCTCTGCGGGGGTGCGTGTCCACGGCCCCCCGCCCTGCTGCTCCAGACCCCTGAGACAGGCAGGGGCCTGACAGGCCCCCTCGCCCCAGCATCGGGTCGGGACGCTGAGGCTGGCGGGATCCAGCAGCGCTGGAGTGGCAGGAAGATGAGCACCTGCGCGATGCCAGCCCCCCGGCGCACGTCCTGGGTGCCGAGGACGCCACCGGATGCCAGGCTTGGAGTCCAGGGAAGCGGCGGGAGGAGCAGAGCCGCCGTGTGCAGGGCCGTCGCTGGAGCGGATGGTCGCAGGTGGGTGATCCCCGTCGCGGGCACGTCCTGGACCCCGCGCTCCCCCTGGACTGGGCCTGAGCTGGCCGAGGAGCAGGGGCCCTGGTGTGGCCCCCGCAGCCCCCTTCCCAAGCGCTGGCTGGGTATCCGGAGACCGGCTGCGGGCGGCTTGACGTGGGGGCCAGGGTTATGGTGCCCGCTGGGGTCGGGTCGGAGTCGCTCCGGGGCGTTGTCCGTGTGCAGGGGACGCGTGTTCCCAGCGCTGCCTGCAGCACACGGCGCCCCGACTCGGGGGGCTCCCACCCTCTGGGCGTGGGACGTCCCGGAGCCGGGGGCTTTCCAGATCCTCTGGTGCCCTCTAGCGAATCCCAGCCCGGGACCGGCCCCGAAACCCAGGCAGGGAGGGACCGGCGCAGCACGAGGCAGGAGACCGCGGCCGTGAGCTCTGTCCCGGGTCGGGGCCTGCAGCCGGCCCAGGACACCGTCCAGCCGGCCCTGCTTGACCTCGCTGGGTCTCGGCGCGTCCTCGGCCCTGGGGCGCTCGTCCCGGGACGGCTCCAGGGGACGTGGATCCATCCTCTCCCACCGGCTGCCTTGTCTGCTGGGCTGGGACGCTCTGGAGCTCCTGCCCCAGCCGTACAGCGCCGGGCACGGCCACGTCCCGTCCCAGTCGTGTGCCTGGCTGGGGCGAGCTCTTGTGCCTGGTTGGGCCTGAGCTGCCCCGGCCCCAGGGAGCAGGGACGGGCAGGCGTGATGCCGGGTGCTATTACACACTTGTTTGTGCAGGGAACTAGTCTTTCTTGTGCAGGGTCCTGAGATTGCCGGAGCCTCCTCCTGTGGAAGCGGCCGCGGGGAAGCAAACACGGCCGCGCAGGCCCCACCCGTGGCCGCGGGGCTCTCCCGGGCTGCGCCAGGCTCTGGGGGCCGACGGCGACTTGGCTTCTTCTCCTCGCTTTTTAGCCAGTGCCAAGACGGAGCCGAGAGCGGCAATTAGTGTTCCCGCCCCTGCCATTACCGCCAGCTGCGTTGGCGCGCTCTCCCTCCCCGCACACAGCGCCCATTACCGCCCGGCTTGGCGCCAACAAAGTTTTCTACTTCTCGGCCAAGAGGACCGTTTCCGTTGGCTTGTGCTGCCCAGCGGCGCGCGGGTCGTCCTTGCTCGCCCTGGCGGCACCGGGAGATGGCACTTGGTGGACCAGACGCAGACCTTCCCGGCGCGACCGTTCCTCTCCTGCCCCGCGCGTGCTGCTTAGCAGGGCAAGGGTTAGCAGTAATGGCCCCTTGCCGCCACCCTTAGGGTTCAGAGTGAACGGGCCCAAAAGACAAGGGGAGCGGGTTAAA